ATCTCCAGGGCGTGTCCTGGGACGCACACGGCCATGAGAGTCCAAAACTCGACCCACTTGGGGCGGATAGCCGCCTTAAGGGCATGGTTGTAGGCAGTTTTGACGGGGCCTGATGGGGCTTGAATGTCGGTGCCCGTGGTACAGACGCTGGCAGCAAGGGAACGGGCGTGCCGCGCCTTAATAAGCATCGGCGATGGGAGCTTGCCAATGCGCGGCAGGCGACTAGTCGCCCTCCGAACACGGGCGTCAGCGGTGGCCGTGAGGTTAAGCGCGGCTGGAGCCGGCGCTGCCTCGGCGTTGATGTAACTCCCGACGAGCTTGAAGGAGTCGACCACGCGTAAGGGCCGTTCCGCCAGAGTGAGCTGGGTAACGGCGGCGTGAAGCTCGTCGGTGAGCGCCCACCCCGCCACTTTGCCAGGGTGAATGCGTTGACCTGAAAATCGATCAAACTTGGCGGTTTCATCAAGAGATTTCTGCAACTCAGGCGCGGTGTGAGTAGTGGAGTTGCTGTCGTCAACAAAGGTAGTGCTGAGTGATCGCGGAACGTATCGATGCTGTCTCTTGGTCCACACACACATGAGCAGCTTATGTCGTCCAGGGACCAAGAGCTTCCCTGGAGGTGACCGTTGGTCCTGGCCAATTCCTTAGAGTACGCTCCGTTCATGCGGATGTAGCGTTTGTGGCGACTGTAGAAGTTTCTGCGGACAGTAACGATGTCTTGGGGGCACCCCGCGTGAAGCGCAAGGTTAAGGCAGATGTCCGTGATGAGGTAGTCGAAACACTTCTGTCGGTCAAGGGCAGCCCCAGCTAAGGGAAGGAGTAAGGCCCTGGCGTGTTCGATGCGCAGGGCAAGAGAGGTGCTGACGTCCCCAATGGTAGCTTTGGGGACAGCGCCAAAGCTCGTGGCGTGGGTCCATCCTTTCCGCCAGTCCGTGAGGCTGCGGTAAGCTGGCGCTTCCCACGCATACATCCAAACGGAAAGCACCGAGAGAAGTCGTTGGTCCGTTGGGAGTTCGCCTCGGCCTTTTCGGAGGCACGGGTTTGGCACATGAA